ATTCCTGTGTGACAAGCAGAAGATTTCTGTACTCAGCTGCTTGGAAATCCCAGCTCCTTTGTTACTTTTGCCTCACCGATGAGGCTCTCTGCCAGGGCAAGCTTTGCACAGCGCTTGCATTCACTCAAGCAGCCAAGCGCTTAACAATAAACTGTTTTTCAACGTCTGTGTGTAACTCGACCACATCTAATGCGCTGCCAAGCAGTTACTTGCAGATCCGTTGAGACCTATTAACGCAAACCACTCTAATTCGCAGAGCCCGGACAACGCATCTTGCTTGAGTTGCTTGAGTTCTTAAAGCAAATTGTGTCGGTCTTTTATACTGCTATGTGCATGCGATTAAGAAGTACAAACTGTAAGTTGCTCTCCACACAGCAAATACGATTCACCTTACTGTTTTTAAAAAAAATTCTGTGAGTTGATGTCTTACAAAGAGTCTTTATGCTTATGTAATATTTTAGATGAACATGGCTTGTGTTGTCTGCTTGTGTTTTACAGAAGAAACTAATTTTTAAAATTTTCTTTCTTTTATGGTTGCTTTGAATTAATTCTCAAGCAAACACTAGGGGGCGAAGACCAACTATCTTGTGTTTATTCATCTTTCCCAAACGGCTTGAACAAATCCCTTTCAGATTATAAACCGGCCACAGGCAGCTTGGTTTGTCTGCTCACTCCTTGCGGTCTGTAGCTGGTTATCTAAACAGCACATTCCCTAATACTTGATGCAGTAAAGTTTAGGAAAACCAACTGATGACAGAGGTGGTCATGATTTTTTGTTTTCATACATGCTGTAAATTTTATACTTAAAACGCTATTTGAAGTCAGTCCTCAGTGCTGTTCAGTTTTTCTCTTATGGTTCTAAATTTAAAAAAAATGCTGCAGCCGGCATAACTACATAGCTATTTGCTGAAACAAATAGATAATGTGTTTCTGATAAACTTATTTCTTTATAGCCTAGTTGCAGCAAAATATCTTGTGGGAATTTTTGTGGTCTGCTGAGAGAAATTACATATATACACACACAGAGACAAATATGTATTCAGTGCATATTTAGCTTTCATTGAACAAATTTTTTCCCCCAGAAGATGTCAAAGCATTTCCTTTCAGCTTCTGTTTCATTGCATGAGAGTCTGTAAGTGTTTTATTGGCACTAATTCTTCTTATAATGTTTCATTTAGCTCTATTTTAATAGAAGCATCTCAAATATTATCTCCTTTTAAGACAGAGCAAGTAATGCATTTGCTAATACAGCAGACTGCAAACACTCATATTCAATTCATACAAAAAATACTAGCAGAAAAGGAAAAACAGCAGAAAAAAAGGAAGTGACAACCATCTGGACTGTTATAATGCATTGTCACTGCCATTTCATGGCAAATGCTGGGATATGTGGAAAGTGGTGACTAGTTGTATACCCACGCATCTGTCTTGCTCCTTCCTTCAAAGCAGGTGCACCAGTGGATTCAGCAATGGGGGGCAAGGGGTGAGTGTGTTGCAGAAGATGGGGCTCAAAGCCAGTTTGAGGCCTCATTGGGTCTGTCTTTTCATCGAGGCAGAATCAGCTATGACTGGAGAAATTATAAGCTCTTATAAATATTTCCTAGTGTTCTACAGATACTACGAATTTCTTTATTTTTTGTTTTCTGATGTCTGTGTTATCTTGCCATAATTTAAACTGGTTACTCCTTTTCCCATCCCCACATGTATGGAAAATTATTACTCTTCCCTTCCTTTTTCTGCACAATCTTCTCTTAGTTATACAGGTCAACTAGAATTCTTTCCATCTCTCTTAATGGGCCATATTTTCTACATCAAACATTCGTTGTTCTTGCCATTCTCTTTTGAGCCCTTTCCAAGTGGTCTTCATCTTTCCTGAAGAGTGGTGCCCAGGATATAATTCAACAGAAAAATTCTTTCTGATGCTAGATGGAAAGGAGGGTTTCCATGCCATGTAGAAAATTTCCATTTAAAACTTCCAGTATAAAATTTTCTCTTTTCACAGTTTTGCCTTTTGTTACTTACCATGTTATTTTTGAATAACTGCAACATCCAGATAATTTCTAAAGAATTTCTTGTTTGCTACTTTCGTTATCGCAGCTGAAGCTCAAAAGTACTACTCTTTGCATCACTGAGGCTGCACATTATTTATTTCAGTGCATTAAGATAATTTTAAATTTAAGACTAAGAGGTGATCTTATCAACACTTACAAATATCTAAAGGGCGAGTGTCGGGAGGATGGGGCCAGGCTCTTTTCAGTGGTGCCCAGCGACAGGACAAGAGGCAACAGGCACAAACTGGAGCACAGGAATTTCCGCCTGAACATGAGGAGGAACTTCTTCACTCTGACGGTGACAGAGCACTGGAACAGGCTGCCCAGAGAGGCTGTGGAGTCTCCTTCTCTGGAGATATTCAAAACCCACTTGGACACGATCCTGTGCAACCTGCTGTAGGTGAACCTGCTTTGGCAGGGGGGTTGGACTAGATGATGTCCAGAGGTCCCTTCCAACCCCCACCATGCTGTGATTCCAGGCTCTTCTCGTTTGTCAGTTTAAGAAGTGGGCAACCTATTCCGTCATCTAAGCCACTAATGATAATACTGAACAGCATCAGCTTAGCAAATTGTTATCAGTGTTTGTTCCAAACCAGCCCTTTGCACTTGCTAACCAGCTGTGCCATGGAGTAAACAGAGGCACACACTGAGCCACGTGGAGGTACGGGAGTAGCTTGTGGCTCCAGCTTTTGACTTCACTGTACCTGACTGGTAACCAGGATTCAGGTGTTTTTAGGAGGGGAAAAGCAACAGCCTTTCTATACTAAAGAATTGCACCTTGCAAGGTGTGGCTGCAAGGCATTAAAAAAGGATGAGTTTGCCCTGGGACAACTCTGTGGCATGTATTCAAGATATGTTATTTTTCCTAAGTTTATAGTTTTGACTGATATTGATACCCTCCATTAATGAAAGGAGGAAGTTTTGCAATGACAGTGAAAGAACATTTTCTCCATACTTGGGAAATAATTATCAGTCAGAATATGAGGAAGAATTGTTCCTCTCGGACATTCAGAGAGCAGGCTGCTTCACTGTCTGAGTCAGCTCACAGATAGCCTGTGAAAGCACAACGAGCATGAGTGCTATATGGTTAGAAAACACAGGTGTAGGAGGAACTGGTGGTAATCTAAGAAGAGTTCCTTTTTAAGCACAGCTTGGGGCAGGAGGTTTTGTACCAGCATTAACAGGGTCAGATACTGTGCAGTGTGAAAGAAATCCTGCTGCATTCTGCTGAGCCACAAATCATAGACAGCGGGGGGTGGGCAGGATTGTGCTGGGACACGCGAAACATAAATGGAAGTTAAAGGCATGTTGGGAAGTGACGACATAGCTCTTTGTGTTTAAGAAGCAGAACAAATACAATATTAAAAAAAAATCCTTGCAACACTGTCTCTTCTCTTTGTTTGTAGTTTGAAAGACCTTGATCTCTGTTCCTCCCCCAAGTACAAACGTCAGATTAGATTATTAATATTGCATCAACTTTAAGCTTGTTTATTTTAACCTTGAGTTACTAAATTTTATTTTTCTTAAAACCGACTGTTAATTTCAAATGCTAGTTAAATAGCAATTCCAGTTGTGAAAATCACAAGACACTCATTTGAACAGAGGACATGTTTTGCTGCCAAATTTATCTTCTCTTCACCTTTTTTTAATGTGTCTTTATTCATCTGTCTATTTCTTATTAAATTGACCGTCAAAGTGATTTTTGTTTAGTGCTTGTGTAGCAGGCATCATGGTGAGGTTGTGGCTTATGCTACTGCGTGCATCAACTGTGCAATTTTAGTTGCACCTCATTGACCAAAACCTACCAGTAGCTGGTTTACTGCATTTCACTATTATAGTTGTGGGTTTGTTTTCCAAGAGACAAACTCTTTCATCACTATGATTTTATGAAACTAACAATGCTCACATCTACAAATAGAAAAGATATTTGCCTTTTGAATGCTTCATCTTGAAAAGGTCACAACAGA